TTTTTGTTTTTTTTTTTGGAGGAGTCACCCCTCATGCCGGTTAAAATCGATCTTTCCGCTATCCTCTGTCAGGTTAATTCAGTGGATATGGATTTGTATGTCCTGAGAATGAGAATAAGTTAAACATTTTTAGAATCTCCTTTGCCTTTTCATATATGGCAAACTCTATTAAAGTGATGTATGCACGCATGCCTACCACGAATTCCTTTAAATTCACCACCGCTCACTGCAAGTTGTCCCCGAGTGAGCTGAGCTCAAAGGTCAGTTCTGTACAGGCATTTCTCGGCTGTGCTTTGCCTGAAGTTTTCATAAACGGGCAGGCTTCAGGCATTCCCGTGGAATTGGATGCTGTGGTTTTCTCTGTGAAGCTTTCATTCAGTACACGTGTGTTTAGGGTAACACATCCTAGTGTGTGGGTCGGGGGAGGGAGGATTCAAATACCTTGGATGTGCATTAAACCAGTGGGTGCGTCCGGACAAGAACAAAAGAGCATGTTTTAGATCAATCAGCAGGAAAAAGCGAAGTGAATCGATATGAAAACAGTTACATGTGCTAGGAAACTCCGGCGAATGCAATACAACCCGGCTTGTCTAGGAAGGACCTGGCGACTGCGAGTTTTGTTTTCCGGGAAAGAACTCGCAAAGGAAATGCGAGCGAGACTCGTGGAGTTTCAGCGGGTTAGTCCCTGAGAAATCAGTTTCTTGTAATGAACTGTCCATAAACTGAGCTCCAGAAAGACCCCTGTGTAGGTTCGGGTTTTCACTACCTCCTACTCTCTCCCCCACCCCCACCCCCAGTAGGGAGGTTTTCCTTTTAATTTAATTTAAACATTTACATTTAAATTTTTTAATCAACTACTACTTAATAAAAAGCAACCCTCCCAAGATCGTTACCCGTGGGGCATTCCCTGTTTCAACCTCCTCCACTTTAATCCAAGAAATTAGAAATGGCAAAAGCCCTGTTCGATTCCCCAGGATCGCCCCCCTGTTTACCTCGCTTGGTTTTAATTTGGGGCGGGGGGGGGTAGAAATGGGGAAGCTGGAGATTGGAATTAAAAAAAAAGTGATGGAAATCACCTACCTGCCGCCCCTTGAGCTGCACATGGCGATGACAATCCAGCATTAGGCAGCCCCGCGCGACATCGCTGCATTTATTGGAGGTCAAATTGTGCGACTGTTGACTTTAGCACAAAGCAAAGATTTCACTGCCCGCTAGTTTAAAAATGAATATTTTACCAAGATATCGATCAGCTTTATAAAATTCAGTTAAGCACAATGGCTCAAAAGGAGAAAAAAACCGGAAAGGGACGCACTCTAACATCTGTGTAAATTTGCTGAAGTATGACGTGGTGTTGAAAGTTTACCCTCCTGGAATTTGGATCTAGATTTTTTTTTTTTTTTGGTTGTTTAGTGACTTTTGTTTATTCACCGATCACGGTTACTTAAACCAGCAGGAGCGGCAAGAGCTTGGTGTGGCGAGGAACTAAATATACCGAGGGGAGAGGTTGTTTGTTGGTGTTTTTTTCCACCCTGGGTGTGTGCACGATCCATGGGGAAAGGGAGCGAAGCGCACAAGGCAACACATAAAGGATCTGCTTCTAAAGCAGGCATCCAAATGACATCCTTTTTGTGTATGCGGACAGAACTGTATCTTATCGGTTGGGATCAGCGGAGTGAGAGACGCTAAGTAGTTTAAAACTACCATTTCACAATGGGCATATGATACAGAACATAACAGGTTAGAGCATCGCAGCCCCGCGGCATTGTTCCCAAATCAGCCTCATTCCCTGCTTCTATTCTCCTTCCCTACGGGAGCCTTTTATGTGATAATGAAACACATTTTATGCTTTGGTTCACAACGTGTGTGTCCTTGCAGTGTAGAGACGGACAGATTTCTGGCTGGATCCTAGTTTTGTTTTGTTTTTGGAGGGGTTTTTTTCCACCCCCGCCTTCCTTCTCTTTCCCCGAACAATGCCGAATTTTAAGAAGGATTTGAATGTTATTTTGGGCAGCAGATCTATTACTCCTGAAACGCGTGGGAAAACAACAAGTGGCTGGGAAACGGGGGGAATGTGGTGCGTGAAAAACCGTTTCAGCACCGGGATGTGTTTTAATCAGGCAGCGGACTTGCTTTCAGAGCGAAATGTTTGCGGGGGTTCAAAGCACCAGAAGCTGGTTTTAAAAATAGCACCTCGTTCTTGGTTTGTAAAAGAAACCGTGTAGGTCATTTGATTCTACTCTCTCTGAAACCCAAGTGACCACCAGTGTGTGTATTATGTATGATTTATTCCCTACACAATGTGATTTGTTCCCTACACAATGTCATTCTTTATACGGACCTGTAGTGATGCGTGTCTAGACACAGACATAACAGTACTCACACAAACACTAATTATATCGTAATCAGATCCACGGATCTATCTATCTATTGATATGTAACAAATCAACAATTAGACAGTGGAGTTTTTTCAATGCAGCGTCGATTACTTTCCTCGAAAACCTGTCATATGATTTGGCAAACCTTTCATGTGTACATGGATATTTCTGGTTATGAAAAATGCAGATCTACCCTATTTGAACGTTATTTTCCCTCTAATAGCTGAAATCTGTGAAGAAACATATAGACTGCCGGACAGGTAAACAACAGATGTTTGGGGACAATTTCCCCCCACAAAATATGCCATACATGAAATCCACTGTATTTTCACTACTTAAACACGTGAGGCATCATTATAGTGAATATATTTTCACATATTAAATTGTTTCACTGTCTCCATCGGTTCGTACAGGGATTAAAGGTTGGACATGATACAGTGCACACATACTGTTAATTGCAGCGTGTGGCTATGTAGCTATCAAACTGTTTTCATTATGATCCATCCATATTAACATTTTCATTATTCCTGACCGTTCTCTCTATGCACAATTAACAGGAAGAATGAAAACCTATTCAAATGTCTGTAATAGGCTGAAAGCAGCTTTACAACGTTTAGTACAGCTTATACCTCCCCCCTCCCCCTTTTTTTTTTTCACCTTAATGGCTCCATATGTGGAATATATGTTAGCGGCACATTCAGGGTCTTCTTCAGTCTTAGTGTGATAAAGGGAAAGTGTCTTGTCCCAACAAATTCGGGCCCAGTCCTGCAGATATCGAAGTCACGGGTAAAATTCCCAGTGATTTCTCTGGGGGGGGGGAAGGTGGGTGCGATCCCTGCGTTTATACTGATGGGTGTGAAAAAATTTCCCATTCTAGGGCGCACAGACCCTCCCTTTTCTCCCCAAAGTGGCCCCCAGTGAGTAAACCGAGGGCGGGATTGTAACATTGTGTGTACACGGCCAGGCCTGTTCCAGGAAGGGGACAGTGTTCAGGGTCACTCCGAACTTTGGGCTGCTGGCGCTCAGTCAAGGCGAAGAAGTTGATTGTATTTGGGTCAGGTACTAGTCCCCTAAATCGCATCTTGCCCAGAATTTAGGCTCATCCACCTTCCTCCAGCCGCCCTTCTAGCTTCTTAGAGCCGTTGTGCGCCCGGCTATTCGGGCAACTCAAGGAGTTAAGGTAGCTCCCGGCCGCCCTTAGCTCAATTGATCCCTTTCAAGGTTTCTGCAAACTCCAAAGTTCATGACATCAAGGACAGTCTGCAGCGTGTCACCTGGCGCCATAGAGACCGAGCCGGTGTGTTTTACACGGCTCCTGCCTTTCAGGTGGAATTCCGGGTCTTTGAACCGTCTCAGTAACTAGCTGGGGGGAGGGTTGTGTCGAGGGGAAATGAGGAAAGGGGTGGCTTTCAGTAATCATCTGTAAATTCCTGATTTATAAGACTAACGTGATCTATAACGGTTGGAAGGAGCCCAAGGCAAATGCGGGTTTATTAGGAATGACGCCTTTTGTGTTTTCTTGCTGGCTTGTTTGAAGAGCGAAATCCGAGCACGGGTAATATCAAATGTTCCTTTTGGTTAGACTTGGAGTGACTGCAACTCGGGACAAATCCGTGTAGCCTGGAAAACTTTTCAGTTAATCATGAAAAAAATATCCAAGATGCACATAGGGCTACGGTACAAGCAGTATACTTCTCTCATGTGTGTATTTTATATAATATATACATATTTATATATATATCTTTTACTTGATGTGTAGTATAGATATACTCTTTTCGTGGATGTAAGTGTAGAGATAGAGCTTATATTTTTCCTATGTGTATCTATTATAACATACTTTATCTTACATTCTAGTCCATATGTATTTTCCCACTCTACATGAAGGTAAACTGTACAGAGAGAATAAATACACACAGAGATACAGGACTACGTAGATATCTTTTTAAATTATTGAATACATGGAACCAATTTGTTCTCCATTTTCCCTGTCAGTGTCCCCTCCCCCCTCCCTCCAGTGGGGAAAAAAATCGGAAAATCCGAAGAAAAAGATTCAGGGGGAAAAAAACGCCAGTAACACTTTAATATATTTGCGTGAAACTCTGGCTCTTTGGGCCCAGAATTCACATTTATAAGCCATAAATAAAGCATACAGAAACGATAAATTAATCAGATCCAAGTAGTTTACTCTCCCGGTAACATCAAACGTTTGTATCAATTACAACAATCTACCCTGTCGTTTTTTTTTTTTTTTTTTTTTTTTTTTGCTTTTTGTGAAATTTTCTTTTTTTTTCTCTCTCCTTTTTTTGTGATTTTTTTTCCTCTCTCTTTTTACAACGTGACAAGACTTTTGGTCCTCGGTTTCAAAACTAGCATTGTTTCACACTGAATAAGTTTTCCGTCACTTTCACACACACGCACAGAAAAAAAATAGATATATTTATAACTCCCTGCGACAAAAAGGTTACCCCATCCTCGCTGCCCATAAAATCAACCCCCCCCCCCACCCCCCAACAAACCGACCGAAGAAACCAAATATCCCCGACTGAAATCGGTGTTTAAAGAGGCCGGGGCAATCCCGGGGCCTGATCCCACAGCCCACTGGACTTTGGATCAGGCTGGGTGGGTGGAAATGTGTCCTTTGAGGATGGGGTTGGGAGGCTCGGAACACAAATAAACACAACAGCTTGAGCCAAGGACATCACCAGCGTGCTCCAGCATCCAGCCCCCGGGGCCGGCTGGGCTTGGCAGGGGAGCTTTAGGAAGAGTTCATGATGGGCCGGGAATACACACCTTGGTAATAAGAGGTGTCTCCGGCCAGCGGGGAGGCTTCTAAGCCACTTTTGTTCGTGACCGGGCCCATGGCCAGGCTGCCGGGCATGGGGGAGCCGTAGCCGGAGTAATGCATCACCTGTTCGTAGGCCTTGAGGTCCATTTTGTGGTGGTGGGGGTGATGGTGGGGGTGATGGTGGTGGGGGGGGCGGCGGCTGCTCGGAGGAGGACATCAGGTTGTTGATGGAGAAGGGGTGGTTGAAGGCGTAGTGGTGCTCGGGCTTGAGGTGGGCCTCGTGGGCCAGGTGGTGGGGGGCGAGCAGGTGCTGGGCCGGCGAAGGGGCCTGCTGCGGGGGGGTCCCTTTGAGCTCGGCCAGGGCCCGCTTGTGCTCGCGGCAGGGCGAGGCGCCGGGGTGGGGGGACTCGGGCCCACCCGCCGAGCCGTCGGAGGAGCCTCCTTCCCCGGGTTGGGGCGGCTGGGGGGGCTGCTGGGGGGGCTGCTTCTTCCCCCCTCCTCCTCCTCCTCCTCCTCCTCCCCCCCCCTTCCTTGCTCTTCTCGCACTTGAAGCGCTTCTGGCGGCGCAGGTAGCAGCCGTTCTCGAACATGTTGCCCGAGTCCGGGTGCAGGGTCCAGAAGGAGCCCTTGCCGGGCTTGTCCGGGGAGCGGGGCACCTTGAGGAAGCAGTCGTTGAAGGAGAGCGAGTGGCGGATGGAATTTTGCCAGCGCTGCTGGTTCTGCCGGTAGAAGGGGAACAGGTCCATGATCCACTGGTAGATCTCGCTCAGCGTCAGCATCTTGTTGGGCGACTGCTGGATGGCCATGGTGATGAGCGAGATGTAGGAGTAGGGGGGCTTGGCGTGGGTGTAGCTCCGCCGGTAGGTCTTGGGGTCCCGCGAGCGGTTGAGGTTGCCTTGGCCGTACATGGGGCTCATGGAGTTCATGTTGGGGTAGGGGGCCAGGGCGTTTATGGAGCCGGCCTGGGCGCCCATGGGGCTCAGGCTGGGGCTCAGGTGGGCCCCCATGCCGCTGCCCATGCCGGCCATGGCCCCCGGGCCGGGAGACATGCCGGCCAAGGACGGGCTCATCCCGGTGCTGGCGTAGGACATGTTCATGGAGCCGGCCCCGCTCATGTTGGCCGGGCCGCTGCTCATGGCCGACATGCCCATGTAGCTGTTCATGCCCAGGCCCGCGTTCATGCTGCTCACGGAGGAATAGCTCTGCAAGGAGAAGGGGGGAGAGCGGAGGGGAGAAGGGGGGGTGATTAACGTCGGCTGCCATGCAGTGCCTGCCACCCCTAGGCTGCTCTAGCAAGGGGGCTGCGGGCGCGGGGGCGCCCCGCAAGCCACCCCGCAGCGCCCGGGGGCGCCCCGCAAGCCACCCCGCAGCGCCCGGGGGTGCGTAGGACGCGGCTGCCGGGGCGAGCTGCTCTCTGCCGGGTCGCTGGTTGAGCCGGGTCCGAAAAAGCAACACTCAGCTGGCAGGGGAAGGGGGCTGCTCCCACCCAAGAGCGCCGCGAAGGGGCAGCGGTCGCCCCGGTTGGGACCTGGGGCGAGGGACCCGGTGGGGGGGATGCGACTGCCCCGGGCTGCGGTGTGTGTGTTCAGTAGTTACAAACCCCGCTGGCCGCCAGACCCATCGATCAGCAAAAAACACCCTGCGCTCTGGAGGGGGGGCGCGGGTCCTGCATGGCGAACGACGTGGGAAGGGAACACGCGCGGGGGGCCCCACCCGAGACGGCGCAGAAGGGACTCCCCGCCGCCCAGCGAGTCGCTCTCCCCGCTCCCCCCCGCCTCCAAACCCACATTTCCAGCCCTAAACGTTTCCCCCCTTCTGCCGTGCCCGCCCCCCCCCCCCCGTTTTCTCCCCACCCCCCAGGCAGCCCCATGCCAAACACAACTTTGTCTGCCCAGGGCAGAGGATTTGGAGGCGCCGCGAGTCAATATTTGATCACCGAGTTAATATTATCTCAAGGCTAACACGGCGTCGTGCCCACCCCGCGCCCTGTTTTCGCCCGAGGAGGGGAGCCCGGGAGGCGGCCGGGGGACGGGAAGGGGGTGTGGGATGGGCAGGGCGGGGGGCCCGGGACACACACTCGCTCACACCCACGCACGCCGGAGGAAGAAGTGGTCCCTACCTCGGGCTCCGCGTAGTAGCCGCTCCACTCCGAGTGCTCGTGGCCTTCCATTTTCACGGCTCCGAGCATACTGGAAGCAGAGTGCATGGCCGTTTAAAATTTAACAGCCACAAAACCGACGACAGGAGAGAGAACAACCCCAAAAAAAAAAAAAAACACCCCCCAGCCCTCCCTCCCCTCTGCGTCTCACTCCCTCTCTGCCTGAGCCGGGTGGAGGGGGAGGGGGCGAAGTGGCTGCTGCAGGGCTGGGGTGGCTGGTTTTTTCTCCCCCCCCCCAGCCCCCGCCCCCGCCCCCGCCCGCCTTGCTCCTGCTGCTGCTTGGGTGGGTTTGTTGTTTTTCTTTTTTTGTCTTTTTTTTTTTTTCTTTGCAGCCCAGAGGCGCGGTGGGAAAAGGGGGGAGGCGGAGGACAAGTGCTCCCGTGACGTTGGGGGCTGAGTGAGATCGCGCCGGGCGCCCCCGCCAGCCTCCAATCCCCAGACCCCGGGCAGCCTATTTGAATAACCAGCTCCCACCTAGGCGGGAGCCTTGGCCCCCCTCTCGCACACACCTGCCCCGAGCTGCGCGGCGGGCGGAGGGGGACAAATCCCGACCCAGGGAGAGCGAGCCAGAGAAGGAGCGGGGGCGGCAGCTGGACCCGTCTTTATTGGCCGGTGTCTTGTCATCTGGCGAGCGGCCTGGCAGCCAGGCTGTGGGGGGGGGGGGGGTCCCTGCGCTTGTGACTGCAGCTGGGGAGGGAGCGGGGCCTCCCCCTGCTTGGGTGCCGCAGGGCTGGGGGGCACTGGTTTGCCGCCCGCCGGGCTCCGGGCGGGTTTACCGAGTCCGGATTCATTTCTCCGGGGCTCTCGGTGCTGGCCGGGGCGGCTCGGCAGCACATTTGCAAAGCCCTGCCCCGGCTAGAAGGAGCTGGGTACACACCTTTACCCCGCCCGGCGCCGGTCCCCGCGGAGCGCCCTGGTTGCGAGTGGGAGCCGGAGCGAAGTCACGGGAGGCGCTGGGCTGTTACGCGGCATTTACCTCGGTGTCCAAGCCATGCCCCGGGCTTCCTGGATTTTTTTTTTTTTTTTTTTTTTTTTTAGCAAGGCGCTAAAGGACTCGGGATCACCCATTTGTCTGTGAGAGAACAGCCAGTCCCAAGGTTACCCAGCCACAGCCGGGACGCCTACAACATTTCGTAACTAAAACAAACAAGGGGGAAGGTGAGAGTAGCCGGCCGAAATAAACCAGGGAATCGCTGGTAAGGACCTGGGGTTTTCTACCACAGCCCCCGAGCAGCCTGTAACCCCACCCCGTGCCGCTCAAACTGTGACACTAGCAGCCAGGTCAGAATTTCAACAAAAAAAAACCCCACACCCCTCCTAAGACATCAGGAAACTAGACAGAAAATCCCAAGACTTCGACCTCGGAACTATCTACACTCCTGGCCAGCACACAACAGAGTCAAAAGGACAGGGGATGCTCTGTAATCTGCTCTGTACCAATTCTGCCAGTCTCTCCCGCTACGGCTGCTGATTGTGTGTTCATTTCAAATCTAATGATAGATAGATAGATAGATAGATAGATAGATAGATAGATAGATAGATAGATAGATAGATAGAAATAAGCACCCTTATTTACAAAAGCCACACAGCGACCTGCTTGCTGTTCCTGCGTCAGTATCCGAGCAAATGTTGCAACATGCATGTATTCTAGAGGGAACCTTAGCTGCTTGAGATATTAAACGAAGTCAAGTTTATTTAACAGTGTTGGTTCATCAGGGATTTAACGGGTCTTTCTCATGCCATAGAAAACAGCGGCTCTGTGAAGTGTGGAATGCATCTTGACTATTTCGTTGCTAATGCCCCGCAGACAGCTCTCCTCCACCAGAATGCCGCAGTTATCATTGTCAAGAGAGAAAGTGACTCGAGTCTTGGCCGACAAAATTCTGCCATACGAAACAGGGGACTACGCCAGTGCATCCATTTTTTTCATGTACAACTTTCTCTATCTATCTATCCTCATACACCCCCTCTATCTATCTATCTATCTATCTATCTATCTATCTATCTATCTATCTATCTATCACCTTCAAAATGAATGGGGAAGTATGGCCCTTTCCCCCCCAAATAAGACAAACACTTCTAGCTCTAACAATGGAGGTTAGTAATAATATAACATGCTAATAAAGAATGCCCGAGGGGGTTTTCATTTAATCGCAGGTACTCATCAAACGATTCATATAAACAGGGGGATAGACTTTGCTAAACAAGCCACACAGTAAATTAAATTTTAAAAGGCGTCAGAAAAAAATATCAGCCACCCCTCTGATTCAAGCGAGAAAATGGATATTCTGATAATAAAAATATTAATGTAAATTTTTGTTCTGCAAAATTAGATGCTTTTCTTCTGGCTTTTTAAAAGTCTATAGATATTTTTCAACTAAAAGATAACAATACAAAAGCCAAGCTACTGTGTCCTCTGGTGAGTGAGGCCAGATGAGACCTTCGGGGAATAAGTGTGGAGAACCGGGATGTGATTAACACTATTTAAACAAAAATGGATAGACTGATGCTTCTCCTGTATCTTGCTTGATGGAAACAGACCGTCTTGCAAGCGTCCTTTCAGAGATTGAAAAATAGTGGTAGAGCGCCCCCTGTCGGAGTTCCATGTTGAACCTGACTGGGGGCCTGAGCCAAACCCATTGCAGTAAACAGAAAGACTCCCATTGATTTCACTGGGTTTTGGATTAGGCCCGAAGAGAAGTGCCTGCATGTGTCATCCTTAATTTTAGGGTGCAGAACAGCCACCTTCTTAGCTGTTAAACAATGGTTTGCTGCATGATCCCTGGAGTGCAATCAGATGCTTGTCAAGTGCTTTGAGATCCTCAGATGAAGGGCACTTCAAGTATTAGCATTTTCCATCTCATTAAGACTAAACTTTTAAAGAATCCTTTATATTAAACAGCAGCCATGTCCCTACAAGACAGCTAATTATAATGAATAATCATAAATAGGTTAATTGGCACATGAAAACAACGCAATTGTACATTTTAAACGTGCCTGTTCTGGTTAGATTTCTCTTATCTTCTGAACACTTTGTCAGCCACAAGTTATTTGACTTGATGAAATCACTGGGTAAAATTCTAGAGTCTTGGGTTGTGCAGGAGGTGCACAGTAAATGATCAGAATGGTTAATTCTAGCCCTTTAAGTCTAAGTCACTCCCTTTAAAGGGGCTGGAACAGCATCAAGGGTCCCTAAAAGCCACCTGTTCTGGCTAGGATGGATTCCTCCAGCATGGGTTTTGAGGAAGACAGGTGCAAAGCCACCTTCTGAGGACACTCTTGCAAGCTTTGGTGTAGGGGGCATTCCTGGGACAGGCCTGGAGGAGGAAGGGGCGTGTGGGGCCCACAGCAGCAAAAGATGGAAGACAGGAAGGAATATTATCCCCATTTTACAGATGGGGAACTGAAGCATAGTGAGATGTGAGTCATGGGCTCTTCACATAAGTGACAAATTTGGGGCAAATAAGTGTCTTGTTTTCTGGATGGATCGACCTTTTTTTTGTTCCTCTAATACACCACATTAGAACATTTCATAAGGCATGCACTTAAGTGTTTCCTTCCCCTTCCCCTGTTTAACAGCGTACAATACAACAGAAAAAAAATTGTTTAGAAGGAAAAATATAGGGAGAATTAAGTAAAATTAATTAAGAGGATGTTGCATATAAGTAATTGAGGGTGATCAATCCAAAGTCAAAAGATCATATATCTTTAGCTTACTGTTTGTAGTTAAGTTAAATCAGTACATACAGGTTAGATCTTTTTCGGTATGGTTCTGGTGGGAGTGTGGGTTTTGCCCCCTGTATGAAAAAAATGGCAACAATACACTGAGGAATTATTGTGCAGTCTTGTTCTAGCTGGTTCCAGTGGCACAATAGTTCCCACTGAATTCAACAGCAGTTGGGGCAAGTCCTCAAAGAGAATTTTCTAGCACCAGTAAGATCTCCCAGCACACACCTACACGTGTGCTAAACGCACCGTAGGACTTGCTTTTGATCTCAGAGGGACTCCTCACAGTGCATAAAGTTAAACACATATGTAAGGCTTTGCCATCTCAGAGCCTCAATTTATCCTAGTTCTGGCCTGCACCCAAAAGTTAGATCAGCCTAACTACATCACTTAGGGCTGTGAAAAATTTCACCCCCCTCCCCTCCCCTCCCCCCGGGTGTAGATGCGGCTAAGTCTTCCCTTGACCATGCGGCCACCTCTCAGGGAGGTCCATTAACTACAGAGATGGGAAAAGCCTTCTGCTTTTGTAGGACACGTCTACATGGCCGTGCTACAACGGCACAGCAACAAAGGTGCTGCTGAAGCTGCTGTGGTGTAGACATGCCCGCAACCTCTCCCAATCCATTGTATTTTACTAGGTTCATTTTTTTCCATTCAAATTAGCAGGAAGTTGACACTTATAAGATTTTTATTGTGCACACACACACACCCCAGACTGGAAGACCCAGTGGGGTCCCAAAGGCATGCAGAGTATCTTTTACTGAGGCTAAGATTTTTGCCCCGAATATTCTAATTTTGGGGCATTTCCCAACTATGGAAGAAGTCCCCATTGCTGCTCCTGCATTCAAGCCATCAGAATTCAATGTTTAAGCAGACATGCTCTGATTTCACGTTTTGCATTGTTGGCTTGTACGGTGCAGATGTCTCTGAAATGTGACGTGCTCTCCAGAGGTCAACAGTGAATTCCCGGGATCCCAAGCTTCTGGTGCGCCATGCGTCTGATGAAATGGGTTCTAACCCATGAAAGCTTATGACCAAATACATTTGTTAGTCTCTAAGGTGCCACAAGGACTCCTCCTTGCATTTACACTAAGGCCGTGTTACATGAATTTGCCAATGTAAAAGTGTAATTTGCACCTTAAAATAGGCGTAAATTGCGTTTCCACCAGTTGAAGACCCCACTGCCAGAGAATGTAACAGGGCATTTGCAAATTGGGTCCTAAACCTTTATAAACTGATCTGGGAAAGCTGCTGAGTAAGACATGAGAGTCCGAACCTTTTATATCCTACACTGTGGTGCTTTTTCGAGCACATACGCTGGATCTTTCAGTCCTAGCAGGTTGACAGAT